CTTAGAGAATGATTAATATGGCTCAGTAGGGGGATGCCTGGGTGGCTCAGTTGGTTAAGTGTCTGCCTTCAGCTCGGGTCATGATCCCAGGGTCCTGGGATCTAGCCCTGAATCCATCTCCCTGCTTAGTGGGGAGCCTGCTTCTCCCTCACTCTCTGCTGCTCCCCCTGCTGTATGCTCTCTCTCTGTCAAATAAATAAATAAAATCTTAAAAAAATATTTAATAAGAACTGAAGCCCATCCAGTCATAGGCATTTAGATATTCAATATTTTGCATATTCTGAGTATTTTTTCAAGAGAAAGTGTGAATTAACTATTGTATCAAGTGACTAGGCATACCTATCTATGTATTTCTTAAATATTTTAAATTGAAGAGTAATGATTGAATCTTTTGACAATTCAAGTAATACACAAGTGTTGTATTGAGAAGAGTATTTCTCTCAAGCCTTTTCTCCACAACCTGCCAGTCTACTCACTGTAGGTAAGCAATCCCAACAGCTCAGTGTAGGTTGGTCAGCCTTAACAGGAAGACTGGCTATAAGGAAGGTGTTACAATCTATTCAGTATTTGATTGATTTGTTCATCTATTTCATTTATTCATTAATATGTTTGCTATTCACCTACAAGGTATTGGCATAAATGCAGGGGGAGTTAAGGTTGATATGAAGCTCTATCCCTTTCCCTTAACAGAGCTTAGGGAAGATACAGTCAAGATAAATCATATGCAAGTATCAGGGAATTTGAAAGATGTTACTCCAATGGTAAAGGTTATATAGTATTAAAACGAGTTTACATATTAAAATCACATTTTAATGATCTCTACAGTGATTATAAAGGAAAATATTCCACATCTTTTGGTGATCATGATTAGATTTATTTTTGAATTCATATTTTATTAGATGAATATATAATATATATATATATTTTTCCTTTGGTTAGCTGAGTTTTGTTTGCATAGAACACATGAATAACTTGCATGTATCTCAAATCCCAAAAGTATATATGGAAAGGATTTTTCCTAAGAGTCTTTTAAGGCTTTTTCTACCGTCTTTAAGATTTTACATTCTATGTTGTTCTTAAATAACTCATTATTCAGATTTTAGGGACTCAGAAGAAATTTCCTGGTGAGATATTGTTAAGTTTTGGGATATGCTTTTACATGTTAAATATATGGATTCTTAAATCAGCCTTCAGAAACCTTTTCGTCATTGATAACAGTTGATCTTGCAGAGTGTTTTAATGTTTTGTACCAATGAATCCTGAGTGTTTAGATGTATTACTAGTACTAGTGTTAGTCTTAATTCTGTGTCTTGGAAGTAGGAAAGTAGGATATGCAGGGGGATAGATGTTGGAAATAAGAGTACATTTCTTACTCCTCTTCCCTGAGCCACAGTATCGACGTGGACCAAGTTTGTCTTAAGGACATTTCTTAAGTCTCTCTACCCATTTTTTTTTTTTTTTTTTTTTTGCACCTCTCTCCCTTTCCTAGCACTTAGGTTAGTATGTCTTTATGCTGCCTTAGCCTGGTTTTGCCTCCAAGAGTCACTTAGTATCAAAACCACCTCTTAATCCTGCTCATCCCTGTTAGGTGAGTGGAGGTAGTGATTTAACTAATTCACAGTGAGAAGTGAACAAGTTTGCTTTCCAACCTTCCTGGATGTATTTGCATGTGATGATATTGTTAACCCAAACAAATTTCTAATTGATGAAATCTCAGGCAGTATAATTTAACAGTAAAAGTTTTGGGGCTGTGAGGGTCTCTTCTCTCTGACTGTTTTTTTGAAAACTAAGGGAATCACTTGTATCATGAAGTTGGAATGACAATGAAGGGAGGGACAGGAGTCTAGGATTTTCAACCTTGACCCGTAGATGGCTGATAACATTCATCAAACAGGGACCAGGCGTGTGTTGTTTGAAATTTCTCTGCGACATTCAAGATAGAGGTCTGTTAGGTAGTTGGATATATCAAATCATACCCTTGCTGGGACACACCTCTTGGCAAGAGACATGGAGTTGGGACTGTTGAGTAGGGGATGACGTTATGGGACATGTTGAGACCACCCTTGGGATGTGAGAGGAGAGCTGATGACCACCTTGAGAAACTGTAGCACTTGAAGCAAACAGCAAGAGTCATCAGAGGTGGGCCAGTGGGAAGATGGAGAGGAAGTATTTGTTGCTGGGCTGTGGCAAGTAATCAAATCTGGCCGCTCTGTCCTACTAGCTTTTACAGTTACTTTGCATTTTCAGTTGCTTGTGGTTTACTGAAACATCCTTAAAGGAAGCATAGTAGCAAATTGCTGTAGATGAGTTTGCAAGATGCTGTTTTACATAACCACATAATTCAGGGGATTCCCAACTCACGATGATTCGACCTAATAATTTTTTGACTTTACTATGGTGCGGCAGCAATATGTGCTCAGTAGAAACTGTACTTGGAATTTTGAATTTGCATCTTTCCTGGGGCAGGTGATATGTGGTGTATACCCCGTGGATATGCGGTATAACGCTCTTTCCATACTTTCTTGTGATGCTGGGCAACAGCAGCAAGCCCTAGCTCCCAGGCCGCCACGCAATCATGACGGTTGATAACTGACACACTGACAACCATCCTTTCCTCATACAACCATTCTGTTTGTCACTTTCGGTACAGTATTCGTTAAATTACATGAGAGAGTCAACACTTAATTATAAAATAGGCTGTGTGTTAGGTAACATTGCCTAAATGTAGCCTCTTTTAAGTGTTCTGAGCACAGTTAACGTGGGCTAGGCTAAGCTATGATGCTCGGTAGGTTAGGTGTATTAAGCGCATTTTGACTTCCAATATTTTCAACTTCGAATGAATGCATTTACCTGGATGGACATAACTCATCTTAAGTTGAGGAACATCTGTACTCATATCGTTTTGTGATTACATAATGTGAGAAAACGTGAAGATGTCATTAGTAATATTAGTCTTAAGTTTTAAGAGGTTATGATACATTTTTTAGATCTTTATGTTTACAAAATGCTTCACAACCTATTCGCGGCTAGAACTGAGGCAGGTGGCTATGACAATCTTTTTTGACATGGACCCACTAGCAAGCAGGAAACTTACTCATGGTGCATTAACAGGAGTGCATTGGATTCCAAATTATATCTGTAGTCCTCTACTTTTCTTATTTTTCTGTACTCTTGCTTTGAGTAAACATTTAGATTTTTTTTAAATGAATGGTGGGTATAATTAATATTTATTCTAATATTCTAATTACTTGTAATCTTAGATCTTAAAGATGAGAAACATTGTATCCATATCCTGCCCTAGAAATTAGAAGTTCTAAGCGTTTTCAAACAGTGATTGTGGAATGTAGTGGAAAGTAATGCATAGATAGATAAGATACTCTTACCTTCGAAATGAGTAAAAGAAGCTTAGCATAGCTGGATCTTAGAACAGACTATCAATTTCAGAATACATGTCCAGTAGCCCATCTCCTCAGTAAGGTCTGTGGTTAGCTTGCTGGGAGAGAAGTGGAATATACCTCAGATATTAAAGATCACCGAGGAGACAGTGGGGTCAGCATGTGATTGGTTTGAGTACCTCCAAAACGGATTTAGTATTAGGGTTTAGTATAACGTCATTCAGAACCTGACCTTAACATACCTTTAGGGTCCAAGCTGCAAATAACAACAAGTAGTTTGAATTCAAGAAAATATTTAACCATTGTTGTGCATTTTGTTTTCACTTAACAGGAATCCTATTTTGTTTTTATTTTTTTAAGCTTTATTGGTATGTAATTGGTATACAAAAAAATTGCACACATTTCATGTAACAGCTTAATGAGTTTGGACATACACATCCTGTTTTTTGAAAGAAGAGTTAAAACTTTCAAATCAGGCCCTCCAAAATTAATCTTACCTCTTTTATTAGAGCATCCTATTTTATTTGAAGTATTTGCAAAGCAGTCGTTCTCATGTTGTATGATTTTTAGTTTCTGATGGCATGTAGTGTATTTTTGCCTTGTATTATATTCACTTTCAATGTCTACACTGTCTATTGGGTTGTAAACTCCCTAAGAGTAGGATCAGTGTTTGTGTATCTCTGCATCTCCAGTGGGTAACCCCTGATTATTAGACATTGTTGATAAAAGCATCAGTGACTGACTAGTTGGGTGATGTTGATGGTGGGTTGTGTGGAGTGGCTCACCATCACTTTGATATGTCTAGGAGATGAGTGTCCCCTAGGCTGCTGTTTGCCTTTTATGCATTATTCTGTTGAGACCATATACGTGATGGCTGGTATTCTTAGTCTTCCTTCAAAATACCAACCAAGTCATATAATAGGCAAACTATTTTGGGAGGAAAGAGAGATGAGTAGCAGATTCAAAGCAGACATTTCATACTTCATTGTGGGTTACGTAGGATTTCTATACTGTTCAGCATCTAATGAAACCACATTTCACCTGACGAATGTCTTCTTTTTGGTTTGTATGTCTTCATGGCAAGATGCTGGTCGGAGGTGGAAATTTGTGGGGAATAGAATCATCTGTCACTTGTAGGTTGAAACCTAAAGCTTTGTACTGTACTGAAGACTGTTTTCTAGAGTAAATCTGCCCCCAAAACTGAGATTACTTATTTCCTCTAACACAGAACTGCTTTCTCTGAGTTTGTTTTTGATCATTATGTAAAAATCTAAAAATTGGAGATGGAATAGTGCCTAAGTTTTGGGCATACATTTTCTTGCATTATCCACTGGACAAATGGGATACTGTAGAACTGGTTCATTGTCACCTGACAGGCAAAAATTGTTTCTGACCCTTGAGTTAAGTGAATTGCTGGGGACATTGTAGTGGAATAAACTCAAAGTTCTGAACAGATCTCCCAGAGCAAGTATGCAGTGTATATTTAAAAGGACTAGTACTTTCATCTTACCAGTATGCATAAATTAATCTTTATTTTGCTTAAGTTGCATTAGTATTCAGTCCATGTAAAGTTCTAACTAATCTTCAAATCCTCTTGGATTTCAGGTGTTAAAAACGGACCAACGAGGCATGATGTTTTAGATGGCTCATTAGAAGCCTGTAAGGACCTCACCAGACCTCATGAAGAATCAAAGAAAAGGGGGAGAGCCCAAAAGGTTGGTGTGTGAAAATATTATTTTAAACTTTCCAGTGCTGCTCCATCATAATGTTCGACTCTGGGTTAATGTCACTTAAACTAGTCTGTCCAACTTGTATTTTATTTAAAAAATTAATTATGGGTGGATGTTGGAGGACTCTGACATGAAACTGAGAACATCGGTCACATTCAGGATGGAGGGTTAATACTGGTAGAATGAGCTTTGCCACCGCTTTGCCATTGCAGTTCTTGCTATAAAAACGCCAACAGCTTCTCTCAAGCAGAGGGTGTCTGTTGCACCAACAATTGCTGTTTTATAATCTGAATAAACACTCACTGGGTAGGAGGGGAAGAACCCAAACCTTGTTCATTTGTGAGCTAATGAAGGTTTGACTTCAAGCCATCGGAGTGAAAGGTGCCCGTTGCTTTGTGCTTCAGCTCGTGAAGCTATAGCTAGCCTGCTCTCATCACGCAGCACACGTACGTGAATAGTGTACAGAGGACTTGACATTTCTGATTCTTCTGCATCCGCCCTCATGGCTTAAATTTAAAATCAGCCACTCACTATCTTACGCCTCATTCATACAAGGCCGGGAAAGCATAATATAGTGAAACCTGATTTCCCCACGGTGGGAAGACGGCCCTGATGAACAAGGAACAATCCGAAAGGAAGCAAGGATACCACATAGGGGGCACTGGGGCATCCCGGTCTTCAGCCAAACACGAGCGGCGGATCCTCTACCTGAGGAAGAGGAACAGGGACACCTTCCTTATGCTGGCAATGGTTAGAGACGTTTAAAATTAGATTCCATGAAAGTCTGTTATAAGTGGCAGCAACTTTGATTTCTTTACCGATGTATTCTGGGTTGTCTCAGAAAAACAAAACAAAACAAAACAAAAAAACCCAAAAAACAAAAAAGGACTCCCCAAATGGAAAGAATCACCTGTCAGGTAGAGCAGTCGATCTGTAGGGAGAGAAATTGTCACAGTCCCCTCACATGTGAGTGGTGTAAGTGACACCAGGCAGCTGGGGTCCTGTGCTCCAGCTGTCGCGAGCGTCCCTGCACCTGCCCCTTTGTCGAAAGCCAGTGACCCTCTGGCTGCATTTATGTTTGCTTCCCTGTGTCCTCGTTTTCTTCCTAATTGCTCTATGGCCACTTCACCTCTTTCTTTTGGGAAGAAGCAAACACCTTTTGACATTTATTCGGCTCATGCACTACTGTTTATGCCCTGCCCCTTCTGAAGCACTCTGTGGCAGTCCATACACACCCCTGCTTTAGACTGCCATGCTTTGTGATATTATGTACCCACTTCCCACCCTCCCATGGGTATTTTCTTAGGGTAACAGGTGTACCGACTCATCTCTTTCTTGATATTATGCCTGTATTTAAAAAAAAAAAGACAGTGCCCAGTAAACACTGATTACTTATTACCATAAAAACCCTTCACCCTATCTGATCACAAAGCATGTGGTTTAACTTGGAAGTTAATATTTCAGATGTTTGACCTTGACTGGCTTCTGCCTGATGATCACCTTGAACTGGGTCTGTGGAAGAACATGGGTTAGAGACATGCATCCTGGATGGGAGCATTGCCCCTTCATTCTTAGGAAGCCTCTCACCTTAAAGGGCCCCTAAAATGGGAGAACACCACCTGTGTGACTTACCCTTCCCAGCAGTATTGTATGCATCAAGTGATAAATGCTACATAAGTGGGGAGTGTAGGGTGGTGTCACTGTCATGGATATTAATAAAACAAATAAGTGGTCAAAAGGGAAAAGAATACAGAATAATGTATACATGCCTTTAACTGACAGGCTCAGGAACAAAAATAGTTTAATAAATTTAGTTATGTCACTTGCTCCTATTTGTTTTAACTTTTGTTTTGAAAGTGTTTATTTTTTTACATTATTTTGGTCTTTTTTTATTGAAGAGTAGTTGACACACACTGTTTATTTCCCTGAAACATTAGTTTCAGGTGTACAACATAGTGATTTGACAACTGGATGCGTTATGCTGTGCTCGCCACCCGAGTGTAGCTACCATCTGTCACCACACACGCTACCATTGACTATGTTCCCTGTGCTGTACCTTTCAACTACTGACTTATTCATCCCGTAACGGGAAGCCTGTATCTCCCACTCCCCTTCCTCCAGTTTGCTCATCCTTCCACCCCCTTCCCCTTTTGCAGCCTCCTGTTCTCTGTATTTATGGGTCTGTTTCTGCTTTTGTTTGTTCGATTAGTTTTCTTTTTTAGATTCCACACATAAGTGAAATCATATGGTATTTGTCTCTCTCTCTCTGACTTATTTCACTTAGCATAACACCCTCCAGCTCTGTCCATGTCATTGCAAATGGCAAGATCTCATCCTTTTTTATGTCTGAGTAGTATTCCCTTGTTTATATATATACTGTATCTTCTTTATACATTCATCTATCAGTGACAGTTGGGTTGCTTCCAAATCTTGGCTATCGTAAATAATGCTGCAATGAACCCATGGGTGCATATATCTTTTTGAGTTAGTGTTTTTGTTTTCTTCAGGTAAATATGTAGGAGTGGGATTACTGGATCATACGGTATCTTTATTTTTAATTTTTTGAGGAGCCCGCCATACTGTTTTCCACAGTGACAGTCCCACCAACAGTGCACAAGGGTTCCTTTTTCTCTACATCTTTGCCAACACTTGTTATTTCTTTTTGATTCTAGTCCTTCTGACAGGTGTGAGGTGATATCTCATTGTGGTTAATCTGCATTTCCTTGATTATCAGTGATGTTGAGCATCTTTTCATGTGTCTGGTGGCCATCTGGATGTCTTCTTTGGAGAAATGTCTATTTTTATTTCTATTTTATTTTATTGAGAGAGAGAAATTGTGTGTGTGAGCAGGGGTTGGAAGTGTCAGAGGGAGACAGAGAGAGAGAGAGAGAGAGAATCCCAAGAGAGAGAATCCCACTAGGTATGGAGCCGATGTGGGGTTTGATCTCAGGACCCTGAGATCATGACCTGAGCTGAAACCAAGAGTCAGATGCTTAACTGACTGAGCCACACAGGCACGCTGCTAATGGCTTTTCAAATTTCTGTCCTTATGTATCTCCTCATATCATTCTGGATATTTTCTATTTATTTCTTTTCCATTCTGCCTTTCCCTCTTTATATGTCTGTTCTGATGGTAAACATAAATTTAGTTTTTACATTCCATTTATTGTGTTTTTCAGTTCTCATAATTCTATTTGGATGTCTTTTTATCCTTTCCAGTCCTCTGCCAAAATTATTAATCTTGTCTTTCTTTGAGCACAATAAACATATTTATTTTGAAGTCTCTACCAGATAACTCCATTTTCTAGCTCCATTTAGTTTCTGTCTTTGTAATCTGTTGTTTCTCTTTGTTTTCAGTCATATGTTCCTCTCATATGCCTGGTTATTTTTGATTTATCTTCATACCAGGAATTGAGATGACTTGAGGTCAGGCTTCTAACTCTGTGAGGCCAACTATCCCCTAGGGAAAATGGCCTTCCGATGCTGACTCACCTCTGAAGTTGTCCCCTTCTGTGATTCACTGTCTCATCAGCTCATCTGTACCTTCAGATAGCTGGTGTTTGCTTGTTTGCTTGTATCTTGTCACCTCTGAAGGTGTCCCCTTCTGTGATTCACTGTCTCATCAGCTCATCTGTACCTTCAGATAGCTGGTGTTTGCTTGTTTGCTTGTATCTTGTCACCTCTGAAGGTGTCCCCTTCTGTGATTCACTGTCTCATCAGCTCATCTGTACCTTCAGATAGCTGGTGTTTGCTTGTTTGCTTGTATCTTGTCAGCTTTACTGATTATTCACAGTGGGGAGGTTGTTCTGAACTACTCAGTCTACCATTCCTGGAAATAATGAGTGAATTTTAACAGCCATTAAAAAACAAAACAAAACAAAAAGCAACCAAGGTGGACACAGAATAAATCCTTCTCTGAGAACAGAGCAGTGAGAAACTAAGTCAATGGCAAGGATTTTTAAGATGAACATTCAAGTTACTGTTTGCAAGACACAGTAAAACATCTCTTGAATACTGATAACAAAAAGAATTCAATAAAGATTTATAGAATCTCAGAACAATAACTACCATTGGAGGTTTTTTGGTTTAGTACCCATTTTTATTGGGAAAAGTCAATTTGTAAATCAGTGGGAAACTATCTTTTTTAGAATTCTTACTTGAAATACATGTTTATAAATTCATTGAACCTCTTTTATTTTGAGATCCAGTTAGGCAATTTCATGACTTCTATAATCTTATAATATGTACATTAATGACAAGGAGACATATTTCTCCCGTCTTTTCAGAGGGAGAATTATAACATGTTATGAGCAATTTGAACCTGTTTTCTGTTGCTTGCTTAATATTGTCAGACAAAGAGTCTGAAGAAGCTATATATAAGATGAATCCTAGTCCTATGGTAAACATATATGAAAATTCTTTTTCTCCAAAGCTTTTTTCATTTATTCTACTACTTCTGTCATTTTTGTTGTTGTTCAAAATATTATTATCCTCAGCAAAATTTTTCTTTTAAGGTAAATCATCCCCTTGGATGGCTTTTCACAAGTGGCTGTGTTATAAAACCACATTTGGGAGCCACTTCTGCCAAGCGAGGGTGTCCCATTAGAGAACAAGCTGTATGTCAGAGCCCAGAAACGTTTTAGCTGCCTTTCATTAGCGTGGAGGCTTAGAGGGAAACGAAGGCCCCAGTACCTTATAATATACGAGTATACTTATTTTGACAGTGGTTAAAAAAAAAGATGAGGAAGAAAAAGAGAGAAAGAAAAGACCCTGCACACCAGATCACAAATGCTTTAATTTCTACAAGTTTCTTAGATAGAGGACAAATGATGAGTAATAGCTTGCGTATGTTCCAATAATTGCTTATTCTTACATTTCTACCAGGGTAAGAGCCCCTAAGGACACAGACTATGTCCTATTCCTCTTATAGTACTGAGTACCACACACAAAAGAGGTGTTCAGTAAGTATTTGCTGCGTCAATAAG